TTCCCCCGACTTCCCTTACTCCTTGTGCAATGAGGGTTACAGGAGTCCGAGTAGGAAGTCCTCCAGCTCACTGTTACTTTGAAATAACGGCTTGCTGTGTAGACATGCTCTGCGTTATTTCAGAGTAACGCTAGTTGTTCCAAAACAGCGCTGTGGTGTAGACGTACCCAAGGGGCCACAGGGCTGCTTGTGCTTTGAAAGTTCCAGACTGTCCTGGCTGCCCCGGTGAGACTGACTGTCCGAGGTTCTGTCACTCCAGAACACACAGACGGGACGCTGATGAGAAATGCCCAAAAGGCGGAATCAGGAGAGACAACAACCATTCTTCCTACGATTAGCTCTTCCTCAACTGCGGCCTAAGATCCTGGCTGAAACAAGGCCCTGAGCCGTTGCTACTCCCCACCGCGGGAGGACATGGTTTGGAACAAGTCCATGGACAGCAGCTAACATTCCGTGCTGCTTAGATCACGGCAACACACGTGTGTGTGAATCATTTCGCAGGGAACCGGGCAGACACTTGCAGGAGGAATGCCAAGACCTGGGCATTTGGCTGGAATTTGTGCTCATTCTCCAGCCACTGAAGCACCGTAGGGCATGTTTCCAGAGGACTCCACATTGACACCGACCCAAACACTCAAAAATCGCAAGTTAGGCTCCAAAACAGTCCTCGGAGTTTTAAAAACTAACCCAGGCCGGGTTTTCACTTCTGCTGTTTGAACAGCTGCGACCTTGGGGACACAGGCTCCGATTTCTCTCCGCAACCACGTAGGCTTGAGACATGCTGATTTTGGGGGGGGGCGTTAAAGCTGCAAGTCTGATAACAACGTGGCCAAATCCTGGGAGAGCCGCGCTGCAGCCGTGAGAGCAGGCACCCCCAGGTGTTTGGCTCTTTGGTACATCTGGTCCTATGAGTCCAGGCCACGGGCTGGTCACATCATGGGAAGAGGCAGCAGCTCTGTTGCCAGGAGCACGGCACGAGGGCATGAACAGTCGCCCCAAGTGTCAGCCGAGGCCAATCAGCCAGTGCTGGG